GTATCCAATCTCGGGGGTTGGCACCCCTTTCGCGGGCATTGATTTGTTCCGCTTCGCCGTCTGTCTTGCACGATAACCTTGCTCAACGCCACAGATCTATACCCCCGCTACCAGGCACTCCATAGACGGCTGAGGTCGGTTCAGACAGTGCCAAAAGGGCAGGCATTTTCTTATTCCTGCCCCTTGAGGACCAAATTTTTAAAATACAATCAAGAGACGCCTACTCAACACCATCGAAAGGACATACGTTGCTGCCCAACTCATATTCTGCAATCCAACAAAGCCCCTACGAAGTCCATGCGCGAAGGATGTCTTGCCAGTGCACGCCACTTCAAATCGTGTTTACGAATTTACATGCACTGGCAGATGTAAGTACATAGGGCGAACGCAACGGCAATTGGCAGATAGAGCTAAAGAACACTTGCCGAGTTGGCTAATAAAAGAGGAAAACAGAACTTCCTGTTCTTCCATTACTGAACACTTGCTTGATAGGGTCATTCTGTTGACCCAAAACCTCTTTCCGGGTACTTGGTCGGGCACGGACAACTGGTATCTTGCGCTACCTGGAGGCAGCCTATATAGGGTGGTCAAAAGCCGACCTAGGTAAAAAGCTGGAGCATGTAGTTAACCTAACATTGCCCTGATAACAAACGGCTCCCTGATTTATAATCACATAACGCCGACAGCCGACGCCCGCGGGGCAAAGGGGGGGAGGCACTGATCGTATGTCTCGTCATGATTGGCCAATCCGCCGTCTGACGAGAGGGAGGCCGTCACGACAATCACAACAGCCGCGAAGGGGGACACGAGTCACGCGAGCCCGGACAGATCAGAAGCAACCAGCAACCAAAAAGCCGGCCAAGGTATGTGTTATAACCGTGCTAAAGTGGTTATAAAATGAGGCAGACGGCGATGCGAAACACATCAAGGCCCATTGGAGGAGTAAGCAGGCGAGGGAAATGCGAGACTTTCCAAAACGTCAGTTTCCGTCCATGAATGCGTCTTTTCTCCTTCATCCTCTTCGAGGAATAAAGGCAATTTTTTTAATCGAAAGTCACCCTTTCTGCGAACATAACATCTGAAGAAAATTTACTGTGTCTGTGCGGCCGAGCATCTTTACATAACACCTAAATAACTCCTTAATGGGTAATTAGACCAATGTGCAGATATTCGCCATTCGCCCTGGGTACTATAGGATACTTATTACTACCTCCCAAGAGCGTCACTGGGGTCCAGTGGGATGCCCGGGCTGAACTCTGGCATAATCCTAAGAATACGCGGGTTACCGCTCACTACCTCAGCTACTCCCTATAATTAACATTATGACATGACGAAGAACTACAAGAACATACAAACATACAAACCGCAATCCTGCGACACTGAGGATTCCGGCCTCTGCGTATTGCCTCCTCCAGCCTTTGCTAAACGCATTCGTTTTGGACAATGCAAGGCATGACGAGGGCATTCACCGTTTTAAAACATAGTCAGACAGAGTAGAGTAGTAGTGTAGTAGTGTAGTAGTAGTAGTGTAGTAGTGTAGTAGTAGTAGTGTAGTAGTAGTAGTGTACTAGTGTAGTAGTAGTGTAGTAGTAGTAGTAGTGTAGTATTAGTAGTAGTAGT